GGGGGGGGGGGGCATTGGGGGTACTCATAATTTTTTTAAAGGGGTACTTTACCAAAAAAAGGTTGAGAAACGCTGCTCTAGATAAACTTCCTCTCAGGAGAAAGGCCCTCTGAAAGCCAGCCAACCCGCCAGACCCCCTGCTTCTAACACGAGGCTTCCATAAACGCAGGCAGAGCCCACCCCAATAAGATCCCCTAGAAAAGTGAACCCAGCTGCTCCCCAGGCTTTCAAACGCAGAGCCCGCCACTCTGCCGTGCGTCTCGCGGTCTGCCTGTTCGCTTTGAAACCGAAATGATACCCTTCCCGGATTTAACAAAGCGCTAAACCTGGCGTTGCAATGTCAGCTCAGCCACTGTCCTTCATTAGCTACCCGACGAGTAAAAGTGACAAGATTTTCGTTGCTATAAGTCAGTAACGGGTGATGCTTCAAACTGTTACCCGGGAACAGCCCCCGGCTGCATCCCACTACAGACGGAGTGCTGCTCCAGCCTCACAGGGCTGCCGGTTCCAGCCCCCTTCCGCCCAGCACGAGGCTGCCTGCTCCCAGCCACACGGGAGCCAGCAGTCCAGTGTGGGACAGGAAGCAGCCGGACTGGTTAAACTTAATGGTTAACGACTTAAATGGATTTTACATTCCTAGCCCAGAGCTGGCACCTATGGTTGGAGGGGCGGGTTTGAGGCAGGGCCGGCGTGAGGAAGCCCAGTCAGGGTTTCTGCTCCAAATCGCTGACAGGTTTATGTTTGTGAGAAAACTCCTCTGGCCCCTCTCCCGAAGATGCATCCCCCCTCTGAAGAGCAGGGAAGTGCCCGGGCTAATCGTGTTTCTTCTGGTCAGCCACGAACCCTCCAATTTCCCAATTCATGTTCTTCCAACGGAGCTCTTAGTCCTAACTTTCCTATTGTCGCTGTAGGGATGGTTCAGACCCAGCCCGGATCCGAGACGGCGATCATAGCCCCCGGGCACCACGCTCCGATGCAGGCCACCTCTCCTCCACTGTGTGACGTGCAGGGGAGAAACAAGGCCCTGACCCTTTCTGCCTGTGTGGATCACCACCCCGGCCAGCAGATCACAACCTCTTCACGCACCAGTTAGAGGCTGAAGATTGGACAAAGCAGAATGCCACTGCAGTCGCCTCTCTCAAACGCCTGCAGCCTTGTGATCCAGGAATCACATGGACTCCACACAGCCCCTATTCGATTTCCCCTCAGCTAGCAAAATACACATTTTCTCAACAGGCTTCCCGTCCTCATTTCTTGCCCCCCCTCCCCACAGCCACAACCTTTCCTCTCCCTCCGTTCTCCTCCCAGCTACAGACACAGACAAAGTCTCCTGTCACCAGCTCCTCACTGCCAGACACAACATAAACTTTGGTGAGACTAGTTGTTGACTCTTTGTGACGGCGCGTTGGGGGTCCCCCGTCTCCTGCACCCCGAAATGGCACAAACAGACTGCACCAGGCGGTGGAATAGAGGAAGTTCATTGCCTCTCTAGGATACAGCACAGCACAGATGGAATCTGGTCACAGAGCTGGGCTAGGATGCCTCAGGCCCCCTTGAGATGGGGGAGACTGGGCCCCTAAACTCCAGCCCCTTTCCCTAGGCTGTCTCCTCCATGCTCCCAGCCAGCAACTAACCCACACTCTTCCAGCCCTGCCCCCCAGCCAGGGCAGCATTCCCCCTTCCTTTGTTCCTCTCCATGGGGGTGTCTGGCCATACCGGTTGAGAGGTCCCTTTGCATAGTGACTCATCCTGTTTTGCTGGGTCGTGGTACCCACGGCAGCCAGTGGGGGTTACCCCAGAGCCAGCAGCATAGAAACCAGCCAGGTACCCCCACTACGTCACACTCTTCTCAAGCACCTCGCCATAAAATAAAAGTGTGTTATACTCGGGAGAAGGTCCAGAGAAGAGCAACAGGAATGATGAAAGGTCTAGAGAACATGAGCTATGAGGAAAGACTGAAGGAATTGGGCTTGTTTAGTCTGGATAGGAGACGACTGAGAGGGGACATAACAGAGGTTTTCAGGTATTGAAAAGGGTGTCATAAGGAGGAGAATTGGGCGCTGTGATAGCCGATGGAACTGTGCCCTCCCTCAGTTTTAGGTAGCTGACATGTGGGTGTCTGCCCACTTCTCCAGGCCAGCCAGCGCAGGGTCCCAGGGGCGCCTGAAGCTGTCTCTGCAGCCATGGAGACTGCGTTTTTTATAAAGCGCTCTTCTCCAAAGCCCTTCACAGCAGTTAGCTAATGGCCCAAAGAATATTTGGAAAGATCGTTTAGTCGTCCACTGAGACCCTCCGCAATTTTCAAGAGGTCTGTGGGGGAAAAAAAGGCACCTCCCGCATTTTCATTTCCTTCTTAGTACTTATAATATAGAAAGAAGGTGAAGAAAAAAGAATGCAGAGGCCAGAAAGTGTGAACGTTCTTTTTCTTGGCGGGGTCCGGGAGGGTGAGGGGAGCCCAAAAAGGAGTCTGAGCCCAGGGTCTTGCTAACGCCAAATCCGCCACTGCCAGGGCTTGGTTAGCAATGCAGAATCTTACCTAGCTCCATGCACGCCACGGCCACCAGCAGCACAGATAAAAGCCCCTTCATCTTAGGTAGCTCCTTGCAGCTGGATACTCCTTGCTGGTGTCTCTCTCAATGCACCCTCTGGATGGGTTTTTCCTTTCACTGATTCTGATCTTTTTTTTTTTTTAACCTCAGGGATCCAGCTGTACTGGAAAAGCGAGTCTGAGTAAGAAAGGGATTAAATCTCTAAGCCCCGAGCCCCGCCTCCTGCTTTGCTATGCATTTTTGGGTAAAGATTGTTCACGCTTAGGTAAGACCAGAAGGATTTGAGCCGTGCACAATAACTAGGCCCCTGTTCTTTGCAAGAAGGTATGATCCGCCGGTGGCGTTATCTAATCCCCGGAATCTCCAATTTACTACCTGCCTTGCTGGCTTTCTCCTTTTCTTTCCCAACTAGCGGCAGAGCCGAGCAATGTCTGTAAAGACAAAAGGGACTCGTAAGACTTCCCTCCCCATTTTTGACCCTGGAGAAGTGACAGACAGTGCGAGACCCGCATGGGGCACGAAGGCCGGGAACATGGCAGCAGATGCTTCAATTCCAACCGTCCTCTACGTTGAGCCTCTAAAACACACCCAAAAGGCCTTAGCCCAGAATTTGTGCTTCCAGCGATCGGTGGCTAGAATTCTGCTCCAGAATTCAGCTCTTGGGCTCCGACTGGCAGGCAGGCGGGTGGGCGGGGGAGGGAGAGGG